GGGGGCGTGGCGGTGGCGCGGCGCGGGACAGCGCCCGCGGGCGGCCTTCTCCATGCCTCTAGCTGCGGCAGGACGCGCGAAGGGGAGCGGCTGCTGGAGCTCCGCTTACGGGCCGTGCCTGAAATCAGTGAGACACAGCACACACCACGGGTAAGTGGACACCCGGAGGAACCGCGGCGCGGGCCGTGGCCGAGGTGGTGGGGCTTCAGAGTGTCCCCACGTCTCTGCCCACCCAACCCGTGCGCGGACAACCCCCACCCCACACCTCCAGGGAACTGCATACGAGCTTCCTGCCCTGCAATTACCTAGAAAAGCGACTTGAATTTTGCCACAAAGCTTCACACCCACCTAAACCGCGGGAGGGAAATGCAATGAGCTTGGAGGCAGCGGAGTGGACTGGGCAGGGAGAAAAAAGACAGCTTGTGCAGCGGGAAGGAACAGAAGGTCCCCGCACGGCTCCACGCGTTCCTTGGTCACCAGATGTGGCCGAGCGCCGAGCCGAGCCAAGAACGTGCCGGCACGTGAGCGCCCGGGGCTGGCGCGCGAGGACGCGGCGGCAGCCTCGGCTTGCAGAGGCGGTCGCGTTTCTTCCAGGAAGCCCTCTCGGAGCCCGGTGGACGAGGGGCGGCCCCGGCCCCCTGGCGCCAGTGGCTGTGGCTCCACCCCCCCCCTTCTCCGAGTTCCAGCGCCAGGCACGCGGAGGGGACTAGCTGCGGGCGCGGCGAGGGAAGGGCAGCTCCTGGACCCTACCTCGGGACAGTCGGCCTCATGGCTGCGGAGCCTCTGGGGACGGCGGGGGTGGCGGGGGCTGCTGGGCCTGGGGCTGGGGCTGCTGGGGCTGCTGGGGCTGCTGCGGCCGTCGCCTTATTCCATGTCCCATTCTCGAATGTTATTCTGTGACATATAACCGAGTCACCCGGGCAGCCGCCGATGTTCCGAATGCGTCCATTGGCCACCGCAACAAAGAGGGGCGGGTCCCGGGCGCGGGACTCTACAAGCCGGAGCGCCGCGACGCTCTGATTGGTTCTGAGGATTCCCGGGCGGGAGGGGAGAGGAGTAGGGGGAGCTGGGCGGCCACGCGAAATCCGATCGCTGTCGTGTCCTGGGAACCCCGCGGGGCTGGAGCGTTTGTCCCTGGGACTTGAGACCGAGTTTCCCCTCGGGTCGTAGCCTGTGAGGGGTTGCAGCTGTGGGAAGCAGAGGAGAAGGAAAGCCACCCAAGAAGTGCCCCTGAGGTAGAGGAGGGCTTATCTTAGGACAGCATTCCCTGAGGAAGGCTGGACATGGTCACCTGCCGCTACCAGGGAGTGATGGTTGGTGCAGGCAGGGCTGTTCACGTGAAGATGCAGTATTAATTTTTTTATCCGACATAACAAATTTCCCAAAACTAACAAGGGGACATAGGCATATATACACTCTGACACTGGTTATGATTAGTAGAGTCCCTTTTAACCCAAGCTGATATGTGACACTAAAACCCGGGAGGTCAGCCACTTCCAGGCTGTTCTGTCACAACTGTTGAGTTAGAGGAGGAGGTGGAGAGATGCTTCAGAGCCATGGTGAAGTGGAGCCCCTCCCACACTCTCCACTGAAACACTTTTTCTTTAAAGGCATCTTTTTTTTTTTTATTTAATTTAAAGAAAGAAAAGAGCAAGATGAGTGGGGCACAGCACCAGACTACAGTCCTGAGGGCTGGCTGAGTCCAGGTTTGCAACTTGGCTGAGCTGTGTGATGCTGGACAAGCCACTTGCCATTCTGGGCCTTAGCTTCTCTTTTGGAAAGGAGGAGAGTAATACTTCAATTTTAAAAAAAAAGAATAGAAAAGGAAAAAAGAGAGAGAGGAGAACAGAACCCCCCCTGCCCAAGGTCAGTTCTGGCTCCAAGGTTCTGTGATCCTCTGACTTCCTCTCTAGTGGACACTTAGAAACCTGGTCATAATATCCTTTCTCTTTAAACTCCGGGCCAGTATGCCAGCTTTGAGAGGGTGAAATGGCTATAATAGCAATGTGAAGTTAACTTGGAATTAAGAATGCAATCATCAAAGACCATTGATGACAGATCTGTTTCTGGATGCTTAACCCTGCACATTGCTTGTAATGGAACTGGAATTTCTCTTTAATAGGAGGACGTGCTCAGAGGCCAGTGAGGAAGTGCAGCTGAGAGCCAGGATTTGGGTGAGGAGACCTGGATTCTGGACCAGTCCGGCACTGGTACAGACAGAGCCCATGCCCAGGACTTTCTAGAGTCAATAATGAGAATAAAAACTTAGGTCCAGATAGGCAAAGGAAATGGGCCAGTTCAGGAAATTACCTGAATAATTCAAGTGGAACAAGCACACCTGAAAAAAAAAATTAGGAAGTTGAAAGAAAATTATCCTCTCAGAGTACAATAACTTCAGTTTTCATTTCCTGATTAGGAGAAAACATGCCTCGGAAGGTGATCTGTTTTCTCATCTTGAGCATCCTTCCTCCCTTCTTTTCTCATTCATCTCTCAAATCTGTCCCTTTCTCCTCGTTTCCTGGAGTTTCAAGTCCAGGAGACTAAGATTTCAGGATGAAGATCTGTGTGCAGAGGATGAGAATATGGCTTAACAATCCCTCGGGAGGAAACTGAGCTCTCAAAGCTCAAGTGATCAGACCAGTTGGTGAAGGTAGAAGAATGTCTGGCAAGTGTCACCGCCCTTGGCATCAATTCCTAATGTCCCCACTCAGGCCAAATCCAAACAACTACAATCTCCCTCTCAAACAAGGGTCTGGATCCTGCTTTACCTGAATCAAAATCCTAGGGACTCGAGAGATTATCCGTTCATCTTCCTACCCCGGGCACCTCAGGACTCCCTGACAGTTGAGGGAAATGCTTTTGTTGTTCATTTCCAATATTTCAATGATCTGTTCTCCTTTCCCTAGGGAGTGGGGTGCAGTGGGGAGCCCAGCGACATGGTATATGAAGAGAGCTGTGAGATTCGGCTGCTTTTCCAAAGAGGCGGTAAGAAGGTTTCTGAAGTGAGCTGCACTGTTCCAGCGCAAGGACTGCAAGGCAGGAGGGCCCTTGTGTTCAGAATTCTTCTGCTTTTGAGAGTTGTGCTAGTTGGGTGGACCAGCCAACTCCATCCTTCATTTCCTTGTGTGTTTTGTGTCATACATGACACTCAGGTGAACCCAGGCCAGACAGATTATGGGTTTTGAAAGTTCAGGTGGTTAGTAAGAGTGACGTAGCCAAATGAGCACACAGTGGGACAGGGCCAACTTGCAACTTGAACAGGGACATGTGAGGACCAGCTGCTCCACCTCCGAGATCATGGTCATGTCCATTCATTGGCAGAACAGCTGGTAGAGCAGAGATGTGTAGTGGGAAGATTTGGAAAAAGAAAAGCTGGGTTCAAGTAGTATCTTATTAAAGTGCCAGTTGCTTGGGTCTCAAAGATAAATAATAAAAAACTGTAACCTCATTACCATACTACTAGCTCCAATACTGTTGATTGGGGGTGGGGGTTGATAATTAGGTGTATTTATTTATTTAAATGGAGGTACTAGGGATTGAACCCAGGACCTTGTGCATGCTAGGCAAGCACTCTACCACTGAGCTACACCCTCCCCCTTATCTGTTGATGTTAATAGCTTATTAATGAGTGTATCAGACACATCTTGTGAGCCTAATCACATTGGCTAGAACTTACATTTCTCTTGGCTCCACAGCGACCTCTACAGCCAACCAGATCTGTGCAGTTCAACCACCTGGGACTGACAGGCACTTTCCCAGACGGGTCCCTCTTGGCTGCTGCTGCACAGCCAGGCGAGCTGGCCATGTGTCCAGGGCTTCTGAATCTTCCACCACTTCTGGATCAGATAAAATGCCATACTGGACACAGGATGTGGCTTCTAAGCAGCCATCAGAGGAGAGTCCAAGGGAATTAATTCCCATGGGGAGCATTCTGACCAATGAGAAGCAGGAGATGGGAGGGGCCTGGGTAAATGAATTCTCTTTCCTTCCTGCTTCCTGTGGACTGTTCCCCATTGTGACTTTCTAACACAGACTGTCTGGAGATGTCCTGCATGGCTGAGCAGCTACACCTTCTGAGGAAGCGGCCAGGGCACTTTGCAGCGGGTCGGGAAGCACTGACCTGCATGATAATACGCTACCTTGCACTACGTCTCGTCCTGGTCTAATTTCCCTTTTCCCTCACTCTTGCTGCCTTTCAACCAGATTTAATCTTTGCTTCAGATTGTTTTCTAGAGAAACTGAGCTAAGACAATTGGTTCCACAAGTGGTTCTACAAAGGAAAGTCCTCAAGAAGGATTTGGGGGTTGTATTTACTAGCCGTCTGAAATCGATGGAGTTCTTTGCTGGCGATAAGAGGGATGCTAGTAACTCCGACATGTGACAGCACCATAACTCTCAGTTGTAGAACTGGGGTGAGTTGGGTGGAGAGCGAGACACTGGGAGATCAAGCAGTTGTGGCACTCAATCAGTTTGGAAACAATGATATAAACAGTGAACAGAGACCTTGGAAACAGAAAATGACAGGCTCAGAGCAGTGAGTTACCAACTCATGGGATGCTCTGAAAGCCAGACAATCATATTTCCTGAAGCTGTAGGATAGACTCTTAAAATCAAGCCCAGGATCTGATCACAGGGTCACAGGATCTGGTCACAGGGTCGCAGAACTGCAAAAACGACTAAATACATGGCCTTGATAGGCATCAAAGCAGAGCCCTGAGAGGGAAAGCCTGGGACCCTGAGACCTGGGATAGGGATGTCTCAGTGGGTGAGCATCTTGACACTTCAAATCCTCTGAATGTTCCTGCCTGAACAAGGTCCCCTTCTCCATGGCTTGTTTTCCTCAAGACCTGGCCCCACCGCTTACTGCCTCCACCAAAACCCAGAGTCAAGTCGTAGCGCCACCCACACCGAGAAGAAAAAGTCCTGTTCCAGGGAGAAAAAGCATACCAGC